GAGGAAAGGGTGGCAAGATTGAGACAGTCTGTGGTAGAGAGGACAGAAGTTCCACCTAGGTCAGAGAGTGAAAAGGAGGGTGATGCTGATGGTACGCAGTCATCGCTTCCTGCTGTCTGCCAGCTTCCCCTGAGAAGAGGTACAGAGCCTCCTTTTGGGAATAAACAGGTAATAAATTATGTGTAGACAATCTGGTACTGAGGCTAGGATAACTTTTCCAAGCCTCAAAATAAATGAGCCAGAAGAGGTGTGTGCTGCATGTAGAGCTGAATGAATGCTGTGGACGCTTTCCATTCATGTGTGTGGAGCTTTGAAACATCCACTTCAAAGTGTCCTGGAGAGCTGCAGCCAAGCAAGCATCCTTTTATGTTTAGTTTTGCTTCTGCTGGGAGATAAACACCTTCTGTTTCACTGCTAGTAACAGCATAAGGTTGCCTGCCCATTTTATGTAGCAAAATTAGGACATCTTGATTTCCAAAGTTATCATTATGGGATGCATTGGGTTTAGAAGCTGGTTCACCTGGTGGGCAAGGGGAGGTCTGGTGGGGAGGCTGTACAGGACATAACTCTTGTCTGTGCTAATGCTGTGCCAATGAAGGCAGCAGCTCTGCAGCACTGTGAATGCCCCCACCACCTCTTTGTCCAGAGGGTACTGGAGTACCCATCATGTGTCCTGCATAGCTGGAAACAACATCTCTTACACACTGTAGTGGTTGTGAGCCAGTTTTCACATCCAATTTTTTTCTTTGACTTAATTGGAAATGAACAGCTGGAGCCAATGTTGTTGGCTTTAAACACTAGCCTAACATCATCTGACCCAGGTGTGGAATAGGAGGCTACCTGAAATAACTTTCATCTTCATATATCTCATCCTCTTAAAAGAACAGTTTTTATCACCCAGACTCAGCACAAGATTTTAAGTGTTTTCAGGAAGTGATGATTTAATTAACTAAAGCCATGCTTGTTTTTCTTTTTTCCAGGATGGTACTAGACAACACAATATGCCATGGAAGTATTGACAGTCTTACCACTACAGCACCAAGGTCGAGCTCCACAGAAGGAAACTCTGTGACCCTGAGCTCACCCTGGACCCTCAGCCAAAGCATTGTCCATGCTGGGTGTGAGTGGCCCTTGTCCATTGCCAGGAGAGGAGGAGGCCAAGAACTGTAAAACCCCCCTGGAGCCCACAGCACTTTGCCAGACACGTTAATAGAAACAGATGGGGCTCTGCCAGAATTTTGTTGCAATTGCACAATTTCAGTAAAATTTCCACTGGAATTTAAAGTCAAATGAATGGAAATATTCCATCTATAGCACCACCTAGACCTCTTAGTGAGTAATTGCTGACTAGCTTTATTCTCTATTGTGTCAGCCATTAAGAACCAGGAGGGTTTAACGAAATGAACACCAGGTCCAGCTATTCTGACTTACCTAGGCCTGCTGCCCTTCTTGCCCTTTTTTCAGATAGATGCTATTGAATAGAAACTTTGATTATTTATGGACTAGAGATGATTTTTCCTTCTAAATAACACCCCATTTTTTTCCCCCTTACTACATCCAGAGCTGAAATATTCATTACTTCTGGTTTTTTTTTTTTTTTTTTTTTTTTTTTTTTTTTTTTTTTTTTTTCCTATATCACTCCTGGCATTCTTGAAACATGCATTTTATGACATACCTCTATGGCCACAAAAATTTCCAACATTTTCATTGATTTTTTTTTCTCCTTGAAGATATACCTTTTACTTTTCTTTAACTCCCTTCATTCATTTACTACATCTGTAAATGTTTAATCGAAATAGCCTCCTGACACAAGGAAATTGTACCTCAAGCATCATCAAGACAGAGCAGAGCTGATGCTGCAGGGAATGAAGGCTGCCTAACTAGAGGGGAAGGAGAGGTCAGGGTGGATGTTTGTGGAATAGGTGTTGAGCATGTGTCTGGGGCTGCAGTGCTTCCCTCATTAGCAGGCAGGCTGCAAATGCTGACTGGCCATGGGCATGGTTCTCACATGAGCTCATTGATGCTGGAGCTGTGTGTAGACCAGTATATTTTGGGCTGTGAGAATGCATCAGACAAGTATGTAACAGTGGGAAAACCTGCACCTGCAATGATAGGAAGCATTTATACATAGTGGCACCATGTGGTGTGGGCTCCTATACTATAGTTAGTGATATACTATATATAGTCCCATACTGTATTTAGTTGCCATACCATGTATCCCAGCTAATCCAAAGAATGAGGCATTCAATATCTCACAGATAACCCCACTTTTAACACCAGCCATTCACCATACCCAATGACATCAATGCAGCTCTATGAATAGATAGAAAACAGGGAATTGCCAAAGGGTTATGAAGGGGCTGCCATCTTGCTCATCTGCAAATACATGGATACACAAATTTCTCTCTTAAAAGGGAATGAAGTTTTAGCAATACCTGCATTAAGGCTACCACCTTGACTCTGCTTGATTTTCAAACAAAAATTCTTCTCCTCCTAGACTCAAGCAGATGAAGAATAATCTGCAGTCTTCAAAAAATTCATTTATTATACATTAATGGATGGTCTAATAATAAAAATCCTCACCAAGCCTTCTGTCAACATTGCAAAATGAATAAGAAACTCCAACAACCAGCATTCTCAGCAGTGCTAATAGTTAGTAAGCAATATTGCCCTTACTCTCAGAGTGTGCAGCAGCAGCATATCACTGTGACCAATGTATTTTAACTCAAAACCTCAACATTTTATGACCCCTCTACCCCTGTCTTTTTTTTCCATAAAAAGGCAGCGAGTTATGCCATAGTTCTGTTACTTTTCTTGAGGTCATCTGTATATTTTGGGTGGACTACATGAATTCCTAAGTCTCTACACTCCGCTGTAGTCACAATACGTATTGTAACTCTGAAGTAAAGATGCAGTTACAAATTCATGCATACAACTCTCAGTAATAGTAACAGGAAGAGAGGTATGGTGGTGTTTTCCTACTAATTCTGGTCCATGTTAAAGTTCTCTTCAATAATAAAGCAACATTATTTATATTTATCTGCTTAAACTAAAAATGTTATTGGCACTATTTTCTTTAAAAAATGTAGAGGCAGACTTAGCATTCATAAGGGAGTGTTTCCCAGTATATTAAGGATACAGTACTCAAGTGAGCTTATAATACTGCTCAGAAAGGAATCATTTAACATGAAATATATATATTCCTTTCCAGTTATTCTGTAAGTATGCACAATTTATGCACACACAGACACACAAACAAATAGAATTTTGTGTGAAGGCAAGGTGGGAGCACAGACAATTTTTGAGTACTTCACAGCCTTCTGAATCTGCAGGTTTTTGAGTAAAATGTGTTTACTCAACAGATTTCCGAGTCAGAAAATGAAAACTCCTTTTACATGAGCTTGGATTTGTGTAAGTGTGATAAACCCCACAGTGGCACCTTCCCACTCCTCTCTGCTAAAGAGTCAGCAAGACCCCTCTGGCTGATTTTCCCTGATGTGTGCAGAGAGCATATGTAGTGAGTACCCCAGGACACAGCCCAATTCATGATTTGACAGTTAATTAAACATGAACATAGCATGGAATGCAATGCTTTTTTCCTTGTCTTGCACAGCTGTATAGATCAATACACTTGAGATTGTCAATAATGCTGTTACCCTTGCATGATTTAACCATACAGGATGTTGTTAAATGCTGATGTATGCACAGACAAGATGACGTACAGCAATTGAACAAGTAATTCAAATTTGTGGTGTACAATGGCAACACAAAATTTCAAGACATGTATCAAGAATTCTCAAGAGGAAAACATCTTGAAATTTATTATAATGTAAGTAGTAAACATATGAATGTGTTTTTACACAGGTAGCAGTTAGGGCTTTCTACAGGTATAGTTAAACCACTGGTGAATAAAAACAGACCTTTTACAAACCCACCAATTCAATATGTTTCCTTCAACATAATATTGTGTGTGGCTATGAAAACAGAGTGACACATAAAAAAATCAAAAATCATATACCACAGGATAACATTTTTATGACTAGAAGAAAACAAAAAATTATGTACATAAATATATATATTTTTATATATAGCAAATTACAGTTTCCTGCACTGAACATTTATCAAATACACAAGTATTGAACAATACTGGATAGGGTGCTTTGTCACACCTTGTGGTCTCCTTAAATTCCTGTGAGAGTGGAAGACAAGTTTTTATGGAGGATACAACTTGTTCAGTGATGTAAGCTCACACAATAATTAAAAATTAAAGAACAAAAAAACCTTTACTGCAGAAATGACTGATATTTCCAGCACAAACATCTTTAAAAACAAAGTGAGAATACTCTACTGTTCTTCAAGCACTTGCCCCAACAGAGAATCTGTGCCAGAGATATTTATTCTGTACAACAGCAGGGTGATGAATCTGGGCAACAAATCTAACACTCAGCTTTGTCCACTGGCTTGTCAAAGTCAAGTGGAAAGCTTTGTCCACTGTCTTTCTGACAGGCAGGTCAGTCTATCAGGCACAGAGGAATCACCTTCCAGATCCCCTCAGAAACCACAGCCTTTCTCTTGGACCTGGGCAGCCACTCCCATGACCTTCAGATTGAAAATGAGGCACTGGCTGGTTTTCTGGCCATTACCTACCCAAGGCTCTAGGAGCTGTGGTTGCTATCATCATGGGAGATTTTGAAAGGGGTGACACCAAGATGTTTTTGAGGACTATATACAGAGCTATTTTGGTTTTGAAAACAGAAAGCATTCACACCACACTTTTCATTTCACCTGGCCAGAAATGCTAAGCTCAGATTCCTAATGCATAAATAACAATCCTTATTTACAAGGATGATGTAGAGTCCATTGGGTTCTTGTGACCCTACCAGAAACTGTCTTCAAAGTACTGCAGTCACTAGCTAGGAATAACAATCCCATTCAGATGTTCTTCAGAGCACACAATACAAATATTTGTGTTATGAAATGCACTTGGTTGTCTTCACAGGTTAATGATGTCTTGAACTTGGGGGATTGTAAATCCAGTCCATTACAATAAGAGTCATACTCACAAGCATGAAGATTATGCCAACTATGAGGAAAATTAGAGCCTGCAATTAGGAAATGAAATTTAATTAATAAAGCTAGTGACTTAGAGGCGGTAGCTCATAGATTGCCCCACTGGATCTGCATTAGTGTAATACCCATGGCCTAAGTTTGGCTTATTCTATGTGACTAAAGCCCAAGTAATATTGTACAGGGATACATGAATCAGAGTTAGTCCTGTGAGAATATCAGTCCAAGAGAGATCTGAAAACAAGCCACTTTGGTACTGTGAACAATAATAAAAAAATATATAAAAGAAACATCTTTGTTTTTTATTATTAAAAAATGACAAATTTTTAGTCAATGGTTATAGTCTTTGGAATTAAAAACCACTTCAGAGTTAATCTGCTGAATCCTTATTAGAAAAACAGGTAAGCCCATATCTCTTATCTGACAGTGTTTCTGTACATATTCAAGGGATTCAGATGCTTGTAGTCACCCTTTGCTTTAGTGGAGCTTTAGTTTACCATAATCTGTCCACCCTTAACAATACTCTGTCTTTGTAAAATAAAGATGAATATTGTATGTGATCTCAGTGCAAGATGTGAAATTCTAGATGTGCCTAACACTAGCAACATGAAGAGTGAACAAAGACACATGAAAAAATATTCACAGTCTCTCTACAGAGAGAGCTCTCTAACAGCTGGAAAAAAACCTTGTAGAGATAATTTCATCATAATAAATTTCTTTTATACTAGAAGTATGTATCAGTCACATGACTTTTGTGGAAAAAAAAATATATATAGATGCATATATGCCCATCTGTTTACATTATGTGCCTAAATACATATTTCATCAATAACTTTTCTAATTACATTTTCAAAGAATGTTTCCTCAGTGATAGTTAAATCTGCAGACAATTATTGATGTTCAGGATGAAAGGCATTGCAGTGGCAGTCCAGCACGACATAGACACATGCTGTGCATAAATGATAGACCTTCATATAAGGTCTATGGATCTGTCACAGAGGAGAGCTCACTATTACTTATTTATCTCTGCAGTGCAATTTCCTTCTTAACCTTGACCTCAAATCTTCCTGTTAATCCACAGCTGGTCTTCTAGCATGAACCATCAACTTCTTATAGACTGTCTTGGTGGTATTTATGAAAATGCAGGTGCTAACTGGAGTTTAGACCGGATTAAGTAAGTCTCTTTTTCTAGTGGTTTAAGACACACTTTATCCCAAATACTTAGGTGAGAGTCAGGAGCAGTAGGCCTCTAAAGACTCTGTCTTGAGGAGCCTCAGATGAATCCCACTGCCCAACCTGTATTTTGAGTGAGACACTACCATTCAGGAGCAAGTGCCAGATGTTGGAAGTCAGTGGTCTGAGTGTTAATGAAGAGTGGAAATCACACACCCTCCTACCCTTTCTTTTGCAATTGCCTCCAGTTCTCTTACCCCAATCTTCTGAGGAGACCTGAGGGGTTCCTTCTTAACAATTCTCAGGTAGAAGGCACCAGGGAGGATGAAAATCAACATCGTAGCGGAAGAGGCTCCTGGAAGAGAGAGCAGAGCTGAGTGCAGCATCATTTGACAGAAAAGCAGAGTGGTGCACCTGCAAAAGAGAGCCTGTGGGGAGGCAGCTGCCATTCTGAGCCCAGCTGTACAAAGGGCTCTCTCTGTAGACTACATTTGTGGAGAGCTGTGGATGTCCGAACACTCATTTGGGTGCTTGGGGCCTGAAGAGACACTTGTTACTGGGAGGGTTTTTTCAAAGTGGTCTGGCTGCCTGTGGTGGAGATGTCTGCACGTCAGCTGAAGCCTGTCTGCTGTCAGGTGAAGCAAGGACAAATGAACATTCCCAGTGGGATGACCCTGGAAAGCAGGTATTGAATAGAGAGTGGATGGTCTGTGCCTAAGAAGTGACAACTCCTCTCTGCTCAGCAGAGTCCAGCATGAAGACCTGGGTATAAAAGGCAGGGAGGAGCAAATCAGCTGCAGAAATCCCATTGAGGTACCTTTCTCAAGGGGTCTGCATCCCTGCATCCTCAAGCACTTCAGAGCATGGAGACTCTTCATGGACCTCTTTGGTCAGAGGCCAAAACTGACCAAAAGAAAGTGGTAGGGAGAGAACTGTTAATGCCAAATGAAATGTGTCACTTTTCTTCTTTTTCTAGCACAATACTTTGGAAGTCAATACATTTTTTCATGCTATAATTGCTTGAAAACCAAAGCTGATTTCCCCCTCCTCCACATGTATTAAATTCCCTTTTGGTCAAAATGGGAATTCCTTACCAGTTTTTATATCGGGATTATTGGATTCCTTGTGCCTCATGCAAAGTAACAACAAGGTTGGGTAGCTTATACCTTTGTCTGTCAGCTGTTTGGGAATCCTTACATTCCCTTTAAATTCAATTTGTGTTTATATTTACTGTGCTGTAAGACTCAAACAGAGATTGAATTTCAGTCCATGAATGTAAATATATTGTAGAAAGGACAATAGAGTCAACAAAAAGTATTTATGAAACCTACCGATAAATCCAAAAATGTCCTTGATAGTTGGGACAAAAATTACAAGCAGATCATTAAAAGCCAAAATTACTGCTGCAATCAGGAAATGTCTTATCCAGCTGAATGGCCTTTTGGGAAACAGCAATGCGCTGATAGATGAACGGATCTGCAAGATGAAAGACAACAGGGAAAGTAAAACAGGAGTTAATTTATCTTTGCTTTCAGTTAAAAAAAATTCTATATTAGTTACAGCTGTTGTGAGAAATTCTGACTGAAAAAATGTGTTTTCAGTCTTTGATTCCCATAATATGGTCTCACTCTGATGTAGGTTTTTGAGAACTGGGTTCACAGTTTAATGCAGAAACTCAAATATTTGCAGTGTAGGAGAAAGTCAAGTAAATAGTGTGTAAAATCAGGGACATGAAATCTATTCAACTGAAAGGTGCTAATATCAGCAAAAAATCCTCAAAGAGCCCCCCCACTATAAGTACTAATCAGCAGGCAAAAAAAGAAGCATGTGTGAAATATGATTTGCTGTACTCCTGAACCTGATGAAAATCCCACAAGAATTCTGTCATTTACTTTTCTGAGAGATAGAGGAAGCCGTTGTACTTAATCATTCAATATGAACATATACATATACATATCTGAAAAGTAAAGCATATTTTTCAATGCCACTTGGAAATTATAACCCTAAAACCAATTGCAGAGGATTCTTTTTTGCTTCACTGACTTTCTCACACATCATGGATTTTTTTTGCTTTTACAACATAAAAGATAGTAAGTAGAAAAAAAGGCCAAAAGCAAATCCATTTGGTAGCTTGAGATGATGTTATTCTCAAGTACCAAAATTAACTTAAAAGTTGGTATTTAGAAATTGAACAAAAATATTTTTACACTCCAAAAAACTCCAAATGCACTTCTGTTTGGTTGTTTTAAAGTAACATATAACTTCTTTCAGGTGAGTTTGGCAATTAAATAAATATATGGGGGTCTTTCAGTGTAGTACATCACTAGAAAACACACCATGTTTTTCAGGTTGATGTAAACTAATACTAGGAAGAGGGAGGCAAATTTAAAATATTTTGTCCAGTTTTTGAGTTGGTGTAAGATAGGTTTATTACACAGAAAACCTTCTGCCTGCATTTCTGTGAGCTTACTGTCAGCATATTGAGCATTATTCCTTTTGTGACACAATCCTTAAAAAGAAGTTATCAAACTGAAGTTTTACAGTGACTAATGGTATATAGATCTATATTTAATTTATTTTTTTGGCAATGCAATGAATTTTTTTTTAATAAAAGACTTTATTTTCTTTAAGAAAATACAAATGGGATTATTAATTTAAAAAAGTAGTTGATATAGTTATACTGCTTATTTGAAGGAGTAAGATCTGCTGAGATGGCTGTCCTGACAGAATGTGTAAAGCTCTTTGGTATTCTGGTTTACAAGAAAAAGATATTTTCTCAGGAGTAATTTAAATGGAAAAATCAGTGTTGTGGTTTGCAGCTGCTAACTATTCAAATATTAAAATGATTATAGAGAAATCTAAAAATACAAAATGCTACACCTGACAGACAGATTTCTTCAATGCCCTTAGCTTGTTTTCCCATTAAGACTGATCAATTTGTTAAGACTAATTTAAACATTTAGCCACTGGTTTAAACATGATTTTTAAGGCAGAGCACTGGAGCTCTCCAAGCTAGAAGGACTGACCGCTCAGGGTGCCTTATACCTGTTTTTTCAAAATTTTTTTTAATTTAGTAGACAACATTGAGCAGTGATCACTGCTCTTAGGCACTTGTCAGCAAGCCTGGAAACAGTACCTATGCAGAGTGTGTATTGCACCCAGGACAAGAGAGCAACAGGACCCCCTGGTTACTCAGATGGGAACACTGTGCTGTGATGCAGCTTGCTGGGAGCCCTCCTGCAGCATGGTGCTGGCCTTGTACGTGCTGTACTCATGAGACACCAGCCTCCCAACACCAGACTGAGAATCAGCTATTTTCTCCTCTGCTGCCTGGCAGCTCAGGGAAGACATGAGGCTCAGTTTTGTACATTCAGGAGCCTGGAGTTCTGCCCACTGGGGGAGATTGATCCCTGATGAGGGTCAATCCCTCTGCAGAGCAATTTGTTTAGCTGTGTCTTTCTGTCCCTGCAACTGTGGTTATTGTGTTTTTCCCAGTGAAGAGCACACAGAAGTTCCAAACTTTGCTCGGACAACTGACTGTGCAGCTCTTTTATACTTCTTTTTTTTTCTGGCATTTAGTTTCCTCACCTGTCCACAAACTCAAGCCTGTAAAGTGAGCACAGGGCCCTCTGTCCCTGTATTTCAGCAGCCCAGTGTGGGAGTCCTGCACAATGTGTGACCTGAGCTTCATGTGTCTGTCCTAAGTTTGGGTGCTATAGTAGGTGCCTGTGTCTGTATCAGGAAATCTCGTAAGTGGTTTCAGTATATCTCCAAGACTTTGGTACTTGGGACTGCTCTGACAAATAAAGTACAGAAAGACCCAGGGAGACAGACAAGTAATTCCTGATATATTTATAAAGACTGATTTATTTCAGTCTTTCAAATTTTGCAACCCTAAATGCCTAAGGTCCATGCTTTGGTCAAATGAGAAAACAGACCTCTCTAAATATAAAGCCCAGGCTTACTTTTCTTCAGTGTTAAAATCTTTTGTTGATCACATTCAGTCAGTGAATATGGGTTACCCTGATTTCAGCTCTGTTACTTACAGGGAAAAGGACAAGGGGCACGGTCAGGGTCACAGCCACCAGCACTGCCAGGCGAACCGACAGCAAAAGGGTGTCAAATGTGTACACTTTAGTGTATGTGTGAAGAAGTTCATCTTCAACTTCTCCTACAAAAAGAAAAGAGAAAGGAGTTAAATCACTTAAGCAGTACCTTGCACATTTAAAAGGATCTTTATACTGCAGCCAGATAAGAGATAAGATTAACTTTAGCCCAGCTGCTGCCATTAGATATAAGTTATGGGCTAGACATGAAAAAGGAATTTTCCCACTGTGAACTGATACTAGTCCATCATTCAGAGATGATGAGGGTAATGCAGCTCTGAGGTGATGCTTTGTACTCTAGCATCTTTGACATGACTTTGAGAAAACCATTAAGTGGATGTACAACCTGAAGTAAAAATAATTTCTGTGATATGAAACAACTCACTGAACAGTTACTGAACTGGTAACAGCTCCTTTTGACCTCCACCCAGATGTCTCAGCTCTCAAGCAGAGCCCTCTTGCCCCAGTGATAGGGAGCAGAGTGTGCTGTATCATTCACTTCTCTGCTGTATGGAGGGACTAACAAGGTAAAAAGAGGTGGCGTTTGCACAAAACGGTGTGCTAATAGAGGGACTACTCTGTTTGCCCATCAGTTACTTGAGCTCATCCAGATTTTTTTTACACTAGAATGATTTGCACCTGTTTTTCAGCATAGATGAAACTGAACTAGTGGCGTCAGAGACAGATTGGATAGCACTTAGTAGTGTCATGTAAAACTGTTGAGCACTGGAGTATTTTTAGTACTCTTGGCCTTTGCCAAGAGTCAAGTTTACAACAGCTTCTTGTCTGAGTTCACAAAGTCAAGGGAAACAAGACTGGCCCCCCAGCAGGTGCCTTGGAGTCTCTCACAGGTGAGGCCTGACACTTGGATAAGTCCCACAGTTCACTCAGAAGGTTACACACTGTGTATTATAATTGAATATTGCTTAAACTTGGATTCAGGCCCCCAGAAAATACATTAATACTTGAGTCTTTGTGATAGAACCAGCCTGCCTGCATTAAAAAGTGAGGGAAAATTCTGCAGGGAACAGTGTTTTGACCTACCATAGAAGGTAAGATATCCAAAGAGGGCAGCCAGAAGATACATGATAAGCATGCCAGTGATGGAGATGTTTGAGACATTCTGCATCCGCTTTCGGGAGCGACTGAAGTACAAAAGAAAGAGAGTAACAGTCCTATAAAGCCTCTATTTGTACAAGAAGTGCTCTGAAGGATCTTAGCTCTCTGGCACACCCTCACCAGACAGAAATTTCATAGCAAATATATTGGTTACATAGAGCTCTTGATGCTTTACAACTCTGTGCAGAGCAGCACAGATTTATAAAATATGTTGAAACTGTATTTCTATTGCTTTTTCTGTGGCAACATAAAAATGTGCCACATTATTTTGTATATCACTATTTATTAAATGTTAATCTCAAATGGTGTATTTTAGGTTAAAAAAAATGGAGGGATGAGAATTAAAGGTCTGTTGACAATAATAGACAAGAGTTTTCAGCCAACTCTATGTGAACATACCCTTATATCTACATAGGGCTGTTCTGCAGGTTCAAGAACCCCTTGCAGATCACATCCTTCCTCCATAAATCCTTTGGTTAAAGAAAATCTTCATCTTATAGGACCTGCAAGCATTTTCCCAAGTCATTTTAGAATTTCTATGGCTTCTGAGGTTAAACCTACTGAAACAGGAGGTAATGGTTCTTAGTCTCCTTGAGTTTTGCAACACACCCCTCTGTAATGCAATTTTTGCTGTTCAGCAAATGTCTTTTTTTAGCCCTTCCCAGCTATTAACTCTGTGCTGTTTTAAGCAACTATATTGGGTTTTTGATATTTGTTAAGCAAAACAGGTTGGGTGAAGAGCCTACCAAAGACACCCAAACCAATGGCATCCCAAGAAACTTTAAGAGTAAGTGCAACTGACATAGACACAGAACACATTTAGGTATTATTAGAAACCAGAATTATCTCAGTGCAACCAAGTTTCCCAGTTTATTTCTGATCATTTGAAGGACTTTCCATATTCCTCCTTTACTAAGTAATATTGATCAATGCAGTGGTTCTCTGTCACCAATATCTGACTATAAGACCAAAGCAAAGCCAAAATCTGCTTACAATGGAAAGCAATAATTCACTATCATGTGGGTGTTCACACACCAGCAGTCAATGGACAACAGGTAGAAGATTATCTCTATCTATGGTTAACTGGAAGTATTGGACAAAATTTAAGAACCTTACTCTTTGAGTTCACTGTATATTGGTAGCACCTCAGGGTGGCATACGAATGCAAATGCCAGGATGGGTATTGCATAGGCAGTCTGTAAAATAAAGCTCCCATTAGTAAGAATGGTCACGGCTGCACCTCTGACTTGGCAGGCAGCAGTTTAGCTGTGGTACAAGTGGTGGAAGACAAGTTCTACAGGATCTCCCTTACCCGTGAGTTGAACACAAAATATTTTGGCTGGCACTTGTCACTGTTGTCGCTGTGTGCTTCGTATTCTACACCGCTTTTCGGAGAGATATCTTTTGGCTCCTCAAGGCTTGGGAAGTGCCCAGCTGTGTTGTCCATCATGAAATTCACACCAGAACTGAGTGACTCATTTGATAACATGACCAGGTGCATTGGCACTGTGCTGTTGGTGGCGGTCCAGTTTTCAACCCCGTGGTCCATGATGGGAAGAGGACAGGGTATTTGGGATTTCTTGAAGATTACCTACAAAAAGTAGACAATGTTATCAGAAAAGTTCCTCTCTAGGAGATTACACATCTGTGGTATTCCAACTGAAGTATAAGCAGACACTGAGAAAGAGAGGAAGCAAGAAACAAAGTGCTACCAATTCTGCTTCTTCTGCAAATATTTGTTGTCACTCTGCCTCTGCTGTTTTCCTGCTTTATTTTTTATTCTCAAGTGGTTTTTAACTGATTTTTTTTATTCTGACTTCACCTATTGCTGAATACGTTGTTATTTGATAAACTTGCAGGGGCTATCCTAACATAAAATTGCCACAGCACAAAGTATAAAAGTATTTAAGGTTTACAGAGTATTTACAAATACAGTGTATTTGTCTGGAGACAATACCAAAACAGTCACCTACCACACTGACAAAGAAAACCATACAGGTCAGTGAAAACCCACTCGTATAACCAAGATAACCTGTGCAGCAAGAAAAACAAAACAAAACAGAACAAAATAGTTCAGTTACATAAAAATTCACAATCCTTAAAGGACTAAGAAATGAGTTTAAGCAGGGCATTAAGCTTACCTAAGCTTTTTAGAAGGGAGAGGGGAAGAATAATCACAACTGTTACAAGTATGACGAGGTAGTTCCCATTAAGGTACCATTCTCTAAACAGGAAGAATAAAAGTAAAAATAATCATCACTGACATCAAAGTGAAAATTGTTCATCTCAGGTTCAGGCTGGGAAAAGACACCTACCCAGAATTCTCCTCAAGTTTCATAAATGCTCTGATGACTTCAGGAAGTTCATATTTAATAATAAAGAGGTAGCTTGACATTGCTGGAAAAAAACCCAAACAAAACAAAAACCTTTAGAGAACTGAGTTTCCAAAACTGTAGTTCCAAAAAAAGAGAAAAGCTTTTGCTAAAGTAGAGAAATGAGTTATGTTTAAATAACAGTGTGACTAAATAAATAAATCCTTTATTTTGACAGGCTGAGCCATAGTCAATGAAGAGAATGGCCAGTTCCTTGAGGATGGTCAGTCAGGCCCCTTTAGCCATCATTGAAGCTTCTTCACTGGCCATGGAGAGATCCCAGGTAATTGTCTTTCACCATACACTGAAGTGTCAGGTAGCTGAAAAAAGTGAGATGAATTCCTCATATCCTTCATTTTTACAATACAGTGTATGCTGTATCTGGCTCATCTCTGATGCCATTTAGCCAGACAGAGGAGAGAATGAAATCACTTGTGTTTTGTAGGAAGAGCATTGGAAGCTAGAAAACTTTTGTCTCTTACCTCCAATATTCTGCATTGTGACTGCAATGAAGACACTACACTTCCCAGGCCAGCCAAATGCCTTTGCTCCCAGTTTTTCATATATTAATGATCCTGAAAAAAAACCCCAAACAAAATCAAAACAAAAATATGGGCCACTACATTAGTGTTGTGTTTTGAGGGGAAGTAAATTTTTTGGGATGCTGTGGTCACATCGATGGGTGTTCAGATTTGAATATTGGCACCTGGTGTGGACACTGGGGGACATGGATATGCCTCTGAGAACACAGGGGTTAAAAGCAGAGCATTCCCAGGAAACCTTCTCTTGGGTTCCAGTGGGGAAAGAGTTTGGATCCCTCCCCAGGCCCAGCTGCTGGCTAGGCGGGGACGGGGAAGCCGTGCAGCCGGGTGAGGTAGGCCAGGCCTTGGACAGAGGTGGGAGGCAAAGAGGCCCCGAGGATGGAAGGGTGGGAGAAGCACCAGGAGGCATCAGGCAGCTCCTCCCATGACAGAGAGCCTGTGCCTGTGACTGTGTTGCCTTGGAACTTGATAAACATGTGCCAGCAGCACAGCCAAGAAGGAGAAGGGGTGGGGGTGGGGGGTGCAGCAAGAAGGTTTCCGGCCGCTGTGGGAGATCCAGGCGGGCAGAGCCCGAGATTTTAACTCTTTTTTGGACAATGAAAACTTCACAGAACATTAACCTTTCCTAGAAGAGAGATAGAGATGAAATGGAAGAAAAAATGGGCAAATGTGATGAAGGTTCGAGCAAGTGAACGATGTTGGAAAAGTAGAGAAGAATCTTAGGTGGGAAGAGATGATGGAGTGGCCTTAGCTGGACTTTTCTTGTTATAGCCATGGACAGAACCATGTTTCCTGTGATACAGAGATTGCATCCAGGGGAAGGCAATGGCTCAGAGCCAAGAGAGTTCAGTGTTGGTACCCCTCAGTCCCAGGGGGTGAAATTTGGGAGGGGCTGGTGTCCCAAAGGTGAGAGACTGTGCTCTTTTTGGAATGGGACAAGGCATCCTTAAAAGGACAACCCTAGAAGCAGCTCTGGCCCATGTGCAGTGGTGAGAGCACTGGGCATGGAAGGAAAGGTGTCACGATGGCAAACGTTCTCCAGGTGCTGCCACGAGTGACGTGGAAACACATGAGGTTTCCACAGTGTTTCCTGGGGAAGCCTATGGCACAAGAAGGACTCCTCTCCTCTTGATGAACTGAGAATTGATTATCTAAAGGGTGGTGATGGACTGAGAGTTGGTGATCTGAGGGATGAATGTATTGGAAATTTGGTGGGAGGAGGAAGAAATGTTTTTGGAAGGTTTTCATTTTTCCTGTGTATTCCTTTTTACATATAGTTGTAGTGTAGTTAATAAAGTTTTCTTTTCTTTATTTCTAAGTGGGGGCCTGCTTTGCTTATTCCTGATCACATCTCACAGCAGACACCAGGGGGAGTGTATTTTCATGGGGGCACTGGCATTGCACCAGCCTCAAACCACGACAATTAGACATACTTGATAAATTGCATTCCAAGGTAAAATACATGCATGCAATACAGATTGTGAATCACAGCCTCCTACCTCCTTCTTTTGATATCTTCAGTAAAAGGTGGACCGAGTAGAGTGATAATATTGCTACGCTGAGCAGCAGAACTCTGCAAGGCAAAGCAGAAATCAGAATCCTAAGCAGGACATCAGAGGCACTCAGTTGATTTGAACATACACTTGCTCATTCTCATGAAGTTCAACACGTCATAAATAGCTTTCAGCAAGTTTGTTCTTTGGTCTCCCAGGCTAAATGCAGAGCTAAGTGTCAATTGTAGCTTCCTTATGAGTACAGTTGCACCTTATACACTCTAAGTGCCCCTGAAGGCTTGTTGAAGTCCAGTAAGTGCTAGTTCTGTGCTAGTCCACAAGGACAAAATCTTATATCTTAACAAGTTCCCACTAAAGTAAACAGATTTCTATGCAAGAATCTGGTCTTTGGACTCTCACCTGCCCACTGACCTCTCATTCTCAAATCTCTCCTCAATCAGAGCTGTCAAAAAAACCCACAAAAATGAAACCCAAAAGCAAATGGTAACTGGGACAACTTCAATGCTATCTCTTGGCTGGTCACTGTATGGACTTCTGGCATATCACTGTGTAGTGGAGGTTAGTTGCCTGCTGTGTGAGTACATTAGAAATCTTGCATCATGTTAAAGCATGGCACAACACTGGAAAACCTGCTCTTGGAGCACTGGTAGCTTAGCTTGTAGACTTAGTCTGCCTGAAGATACTGGTACCTGACTTCAGTAATTCTGATTACTGCCATGTTTCTGCCACACAACAGGTGCATCCTATGTGATTTCAGCTATCTGCCTCTTGTAAACAGCTTGTGAAAAATGTAGCTTTGTATGAGATTTTTGGGGCACAGCGCTGTGCACAACATATCTTATTACCTTAACCATCTCGTCATCAGCCTGCCCAAGTACTGGTGAGGAAGAGAATAACATGACAGAGATAGAAAATATAGAAGCACTTTATCCCATGGCTGAACAGGAGGTTGTGCCCACATCTCCCACTCCCCTGAACACGAGGTTTGGTACAGATATAGGAGACACTGACAGCCAGGTTCATAAATGAGTCTAGGAGCAGACTCAGGCCCTGGGGCTGAGTGATGAACCACCAGACCATCACAATTTCCTCTGAAATTTCCCTCTTCAGGAGAGACAGACAGTGCTACTACCTTGGTGTGGGCAGGGCTGTCTCCTGCTGTGGGCTCATGCAATATGGTAAGGGGGGATCATGTCTGAGGTGAGATCCTGCTGGCGTGGCACCCTCCTTGATCAGGGCCACCCATACAGCTGCTGTTCAGAGACATGATCTCTGTGTCCTGACACATGAGATGGGGTAAACCAGAGTCCTCCTGGTTGCACTTGCTAAATCATGCTGGGCAGCAGAAGTGTTGGTTGCTTTTGGAATTTTGTTAGCCTTCTATTTTCCTTCACCCTGTAGAACACCTTCCAGCATGAAAGCACTTGGGCAACATGAGAAGAGTAAATTACTATACTGCCAGCATCATCTCAATTAGAATTCATGTCCAGCAGTTTCCATTTAGTAGATGGGATTTTTCTGTCCCACTAACACTAACATCACGGGATGTGAAAACAGAGGAACGTCAAGCAATTGGATAACTAGTACTGGTAGCAGTATCTACACACAAGTTCATATTTCTAAATAAAAATCCTTCCTTTACCAAAAGGGAGAATGTTCTCATTCAGAAAATATGGAAATAGCATAGCAAAGAAAGTGAGCTGTGGGGGGAGATTTTTTGCTTTAGCATTACTCCCTACTTCAGCACTGCCAACAGAGCTAATATCATTAGGCTTGTATCAGATTTTTTTTCCACCAATCAGTATGATCAGAATTTCAAATAAAGGTATTATAAAGATAGTATTTTTCCCTGTTAGTGAGGCTTAAGTTATCACAGTTTTCTTTCCAGTGGTCATTTATGAGCATACCAGTTAGTACAAGTGCTCAGAGAAAGTTGGAGGAGAAAAAAATCCTACATTTTTCTGACTCTGACAAAATGGCAGTTTTAGAACTGGCTTCCAATTTTTGCTCTGCACATATTATATCTAAACCAGTTGGGTGCAGGTGTTATGAAGTGCTTATACAGAACAGCATTTGAATCTACAGCTAATTTTCAGTTAGAAATTATATTGGCAAAACAGGAGATGTTTCTTAGCAACTGTAAGCTACATGTAAAATTTTAAATGCTGTTGCTGTTATAGTTCCACAGTCCCCACAAGCAAGAAGCTCTATAAAAACATGCTAGGTTTCAGTAATGTTAAAAATGGCTAATTGTCACACAGTAATATCATGGTTTATTCCAGTCTCATGAGAGGCTAAAATTAAGGCTTCAAGCTAAAATTAAAATCAATAATTAAAAAAAAATATTTTTGATAGAATTCATCTCATTATAAAGAGCCAGATGTTAGCCATGGATTAAAAAACTTCCTGTGGGTATATGTTACTGTCTATAAAAACCCATTCTGTGTAGATACTGTTTGTCAGTCACAGATCAATGCTGTCCTTTGCGCACATTGGGTACAGACAGACTTGGAGCAGCAACATTGGATCTGTGAATGCCTTTGCACTCAAAGCATGTTGACATTTCAGATGATATCGAATCCTCTTCTTCCATTTCTACATAGGGATTAGATGATTGGGGCGATGCAAACATATTTGTGGGTGATTTAATTTCCTCATTGGATTCCCATAGTAAACTGGCAAGATCGGTCTTGTTATTTTAGGACCAGCATGCTTTCTTTCCTTCTGTTTTTTGACTGCATAGTATCAATTCACAGTCATGTTTCTAACACAAAGGAGGTCTACAATTTCGGCAGTGAATTTTCAGCAGTGGATGGTTCCTTGTGGTGAAGCTGAAATGCTCTCATTACAGAGGATCTTACAAGAACCTTCAGCTAACGAACCAAGCTTAACATACCACTGTAATCATAAAAACTTCAGCTCCAGCCCCCTGCTTATATTCCATTTGCTTATTTTTCTACGTACTTACATGAAAAGGATAATTCCTGTGTTGGCCATGGCATAGGAGAGCCCTAAGATGCCACTGCCCATAATGGCATTGCTGAGGTTGAACGAGGACATTCCAAAGGAAGTTCTACCCCTGTGCTGTTGGGTGCAAGAACAGAAAATGGCAATTCATTTGCATTTTACTGAGCATGACTGGCTAATTATCCTCATTCCTGGTGTTCCCTATACTCCTCCCTTGATGCCTAGAGGTGGAGCTTTTTCAAGGTTCCCAGGCCCAGAGGCACTTGCCACCAAAAGGAGTCTACCCCAAAGACAGCTGTGAGGGTAGTGTTTGCCTCTTCCCACTCTTTCATTGTCTCAGTCAGGAGGAGGCTTGCATTCCTGACGGTGATTTAGGTGACACAGTTACACTGGCTATGCTGGCCAGCCTCCATGGAAACACATGCTCTTATCAAACAGGTTTCCCAATTACCAATTTTTAAGTATTCAGATTTTTTATTGAATTTGTCTCCAAGTAAAATGCACTTTTTTTTTGGGGAACTAAAAGGGTGTCTGGGGGGAAGAAAGAAAGGAGTGCTGTGTGCCTAGGGCTGGAAGCAGAAGAATGGAAGAGGGCAAAACCTAGGAGAGAGGGGATGGTGTGTGAATGAGTTACAACAGATGCCAAGTGGAAAAGAAAAAGGGAACATGGCTCTTAATTTTGGTTTACAATTACAAACAATATTTTTGATGTTATGTGATCATTCATTAATAAAATCTGTAACACCACTGATAAAATAATGCCTTTCATTTAATCAAATTCACTAACAATTGAGTAACATTAAATCCTAGCAGAGATGTACCCACACGCACGCTCCAAGAGCTGGTGCTGTGCTTCCACTTTCATGTGGAGCTGTCTAGGAAGTTTGACGTGTGCTGACCACGTAGAGCTCAGCATCATAAAGCCAAAACAATAAGGTTCTTTCTCTAAAGCAGTGCAGCTGAATCTAGATTCCTTCACACAGATGCTGGAAACTAGAAATACAAGCATGTATCCACTAAGGCACAGATCTATGTGGCTATAGGAACAACAAAGTCCTTCTGAGCGCAATGTCCTGTCAGGAAAATGGGCGCAATGCCCCACTGTCTGCACATCTCAGCTGAGATTACATGGAGATGTTACTGAAGCTTAAGTGTGATCTAAGGAATTTTTCTGATTACTTGTGTAGGAAAGATTGAATTTTACTTGTAAGATAACAGAAAGGGTTTGCTGCACTAACTGTTAGAAAACGTGTTTATTCTTTGAAAGTCAAGATTTTGCTGGCCAGGCTCCAGAGTAATTTTGCTTACTGACACTTTAAGGAAAAAATCAGGTCAATAAGATCTACTTTGTAAGCATTCATTCATTCATTTAAAAAGAATAAAACTTACATATTCTTCATCATAGTCCTCCAATTTCTTTTTATCCAGATATCCATTTGTAAGGAACTTCTGACTTTCTGCATCATCACTAGCAAAGGGACTGAACACAAAGAAAAATAAGAAAATATTAGATAAAGCTTATGATACACATTTTATTTGAGTGGTGCTTTTTGTCATCACTGGAAAATTTCCTTTGGCATTGCTCTGAATATTTAAAAATCCAGCAAAAAAAAGGTCTGTTCTCCTGTAAAGTTCTCATATCCAATGGCATGTTTTGTAGATCTTTGCTTTGATTTGGAATTTAGTTTTAGACCCAGTAATCTTTGAATTACACTTGATTGCAGATGTTGGAAAGCGGATCCATACTGTCAGTAACACGCTGAAGCTGAGCACGTGCTTCACATCTGGGGAACAAAGACCCTGTTGGAGATACATGCTGGAGGGAGCAGTGACCTGAGAGCAACAGACTGATGGCTGGTTTTGAGATGTCTTTTTCCAGCCACACAAGTGCTAGTGCTGTGGTGGGTTCTGCTGGAATGTCTGAGGGTGGGCTGTCCCTGCTGCCCTCCATTCCTTGCCCTGGGAAACACTCTCCCTCAATGTGCTCAGGCTGAACTTCTCTGAGAGTATATTAATTTACGTATGTACCATCCGACTGGAGTAGTTGGAAATTGCCAAGGGTTAATCTGTGTTGGGAGCCTGAAGATATCAGTCCAGGTGGTGGCAGGCAAGGGGGGACCTGGGCTGCCTTGCTGTTCTGGGCACACTCTCCTCCAGAGCACAGAGCAAGAAGGGTCAGTGCTGTGGGGAAACTTCCCAGATGCCATTAGTGAAGATTATTTATTGATTACTGCTTTCTAGCCTTAACAGAACAGAGAAATGCCTACCTGCTAATTGCAGCCTTTTCTGAATCAGCCGGCCCTCTGTAGTTGTCTTCGAGGCTTTCCCCACTGTTGCTCTGATCGTCAGGTTCGATGTTGACTTTTTGCAGCTCCATGCGATCCATTAGAGCGGTCAGCGCTTTCCAGCACACACACTCGCTTCTTCAGGGTAAACAGCACTGTGCCGTCTGCTTGTGGGTCCTCTCTGTCATGCAGGGACTGCCAGAACACTCTGTTCTGCAAACAAAACACAACAGAACTCATTAGAGTTTTCTTCAAATTAGATAAACCAGTGTGAATTGTTTGGTTTGTGCTTGATCTTTGTAATAGCATTAAGAGGGGAAAGTGTTGCAGACTGGGAAAATTCTGGGCAAGCATAAAAGTCTCTTTATATGCCAGCACTTGGTTCTCCTGTCTCCCTTCAAATGGTAAAGGGTGCAGAGGCCAACAGATGCACAGTGGATATCCGGCATCTGGAAAAAATACAAAGCCAGCAGAAAAAAATTTCCTGAACTGCTGCTTTGGACTTTCTAGGGGAGGGTGATGCAGAAATGTTTTCTGATAAAAACAGGAGTATAGCAGTATTAGGCTATCCCATTTGTTGCAAGATTAATGTTGTCACAGGTTTAAATGTTTCTTAGATTTGTGCCTTTCACTGGGATCTGACAGAGGTGAGCATCTCTGTATGACCATTTTTTGATAATTGGGAGGTGCAATTCTGATAGGCCAGTTTCTAAGGGAACCGGTGTTTAATTCTTACTTAACCCATCGCTGTAAGCTCTGTCTCACACAGGATTATTACATGGGTATTAGACTGATTATCTTTACCCCATGAGAAAAATTCTTGCCTTTTAAAAATCATATGAATAAATGCTCAACTCTTTATTTATTGTATGGACCAAATGAAATTTTATGACCCAAATTTACAAAGAGAACTTCACCTCTGGGATTTCAGCAGCTCTGTGCTACAGACTCATCTGTAGATAGAGATGTGAATTCATTTGTTGATTATCAGATTCAAGAGGAAAACACTGTTCAAGAAATGCTGCAGTTCTGCAATCCTTCTCCCTTGATGCATTCTGTATTTCCATTCCACAGCTGAGGGGACACCAGTGAAGGGAGCGAGCAGAGATCAGAGAGCACACACCTGGGGCTGCAGCTGCAGTTCCCTTGGCCTTTACCTGCTGCCTTGCAATCAGGCACGCTGGCCAGATTGATGACAATTTTCATAAATATGACATGTCCAATGCAGCTCAGCGTTCCATAATGACAATATCAGAAACATTGCAACAAATAATTTTCTAAGTCTGGCTCTTTGCAACATTAAATCTGCAATTATTTAATAGCCTGTCTCTCTCTCTTTGCATTTATGGGTGTATAGGTCCAGCTCAATGACCAGGCCTTTGCTGTCCTCTGATACTGATCATATGCTGTTCTTAGGAACATCTACAAGCATATCTGTGGTGGCAAGATGTTGGAGTGCATGTATTTAAAATGCAGATATAAACTTTAAATACCAATCCTGGAGGTTAAAACTGACTCCAGGCCAGAAATTAATGTCAAATTCCTTGCTTCTTACTAAAAGCATTCACCCAGACCAGACAACTGAAAAGGAGAAGCAATATCACAGTGCATTAGGAAATTTCCTACCAGAGAGAGCGGCTGGCTCTAATTCTTTCTGCTGCCTCACGGAGTGTTTGTATGTGTGGGGGGATGAGTGACTCAGGCATCAGGGCAGAGCTGCTGGCACTCACATTTCAATGCCTGGGGGATTCTACTTGCTTAGGATATTAATAAATCCATGAGATAAAAAACCAGTAACACTCTCCTCACCCCTCCACCCCCAACAGAGCCTTGACAACTGTGGTTTCATTCACAGAACTGTCTTCAAACACAGACACTGCCCTGTCTGAGAAAGAGAGTTTTTCCAATTCTTGATGCTTATTTTTAATCTGTGGTGTAGAAGTCAGGCAAACAAATCTATCTGTGTTCATCCCTGTTCTGGTAAAGGGTAAAACCTCCTCTGTCTGCACTGCCTAACTTTTGTTGGAAAAATGTCTTTTCCAGAGGTGGCAGTCCAAAAAATACAGATCTTCAAAGAGATGGGAAACGGAGGAAAAGTAAGCAAAAAAGTTGCCAGGAGTTAAGCTGCACAAAGATTAGGCTGAAGATGAAAGCTTGTGCAGCACAGCAAACAATATGGAAAAATTGACTGAAAATACATGTTACAGCATAAGAATCATCTGGACATTGCCCTGTCAAACATTTACACAAGTTGTCTGATTTATGGACGTCATCTCAAGAGGCTGTGTAACCACTGCATAAAGCAATGATTTTCTGTTTTATTTTATTGTTTTAATCTTTGAATTCCTAAAAGTCTTCTGGTGAAAGCACAAAGATTCAGTTGGCAAAATTAAGTCTATTGAAAACCTGCTTTCTTGCAGTTGTAATTTTTTAGGGAGAGGTTGGTAGAACTCCAGAGGTTTACGAACCATGAGCAGAATGCCATTGGCATAAATATGGGGAGAATGAGACCCATAAAACAGGACTGCTATTAGATTTGAATATTGCAAACACTAATAACTGTGATTATGACCAATGGCGCCTTTGAACTTCAGTAGAATTGGCAGGGCTGGTCCTTAGTTAGTGGCAATCCATATCTTCGGTTCCTAGCACTGCAGATACTGAGGGCTTTGGGAGATGCACAGGCACTGGTAGCATGTTCTCCCCACAAGTAACAGAGAAGAGGCAGAGCTGTCACTGCTTCACCTGAGGGGGACGTGGGCTGACCCTGTACCTCTGGAGCTGTTACTCAGCCTACAAGATATTTGGATAAAGGGGATGCACTGACATTGGGCTCTCAGTTGCACCCCTTCAGGGATTTGTGCTGGTGGATTGCTGCTCCTGGGGGGACAGCCAGGAACCAGGGCAGGGATGGTGTGAAAGCACAGCCACCAAGGTTGGGCAGGCCTGGGCCCTGCCAGAAGCTTTGCCTGCAATATTGGAGGAAAACCACCAAAGTTCTCCTGCTTTAGCTGCCCTGGGATTTAATGCTTTCTGCTTCAGAGCTATGATTTTGGTGCCTAAACATACAAGAGAAATCTCTTAGATTTCCAGTGTTCCTCAAACTTGCCCTCAATACAATGATGTTTTTGCTGTCTGTTGTAGCATTTGGCTGAACAGAAAAGATTTTTCCTAAAGTATGGTATTAAAATGGAAATACTCATTGCAGAAAAAATTTACCTATTATTAGAGGAGAGTTATTTATCTCTATAAAACTAATTTTCCTCTTCAAGTATAGGGTACTGCTCTGCATAATTTATTAAGTAATGGTTTCCAGCAATGATTCGGAAAATCATGAAATTTTTGGCATCTGATTTCACAAGGTTATTGATTTCTGTCCAGTCTGCAGTTAGAACATTAGGCGAATGGACAACCACTGGGCAAATAATGCTGGGTCACAGATATGACTAACACTTTCATGGGTTTTGCAATATCAATATTTGTAATGTCTGCCATGGTATCCAATGCAGCAGATTTTGCCAGATTCTTCGTCTTCATGACAGTGACTTTATAAGGTTATTGTCTATGTGGCTATTTCAAAATGAAATAAGTGTTTCAGCTGTCAAATAAATAATTAAAATGTAAAGCCCACTTTCCCAAATTAATTTGTTCAAAGAAATATTAGCCAAGTAACTCGAGAGCCTGGAAAAAATTTCTTAGAAGATAGCCAAGGGCTGCAAAGGCAAGCAATCATTCATTTCTTAATTGACTGGGAAATTTTGAATACTTTTGCTGTTCTGTGGTTGCTTAGGTTTTGATTTTCTGTACAAAAGAGAAGTCTAAATTTCATTCGTGAAGAAATATCAAAGATATTTGCCAGTACAAATTAATACGTCAGTAAATCTTAAGGAGCCTATCCTTCATATTGCGCTTATATTTAGAGATTAATTAAATTTATAATTCCAAATTCCTGAAGATATGGCCAGTGTCTAAAATACATTGATAAAATTTTATAAAGAAAAAAAGTTTACCTCTGAGTTAAGCGGGTTCCTTTCCTCACTTGCTAGACAGGTTATATCTTTTAGGAATTGCACCTGTAAGAAAAAGTTTACTCATATGCAACCTAGAGCAGTTGAACAGTGATTTAAAGACAAATGGGAGTGTATGGGATGAACCAATCACCAGCTGCTACACCCAACAACTCCCTTTGACAAACTTGCGTCAGCTCTTAGAAAAAAAGGGGAAAAAAAAGAAGAAAGGTAAATCAGTTTATTGGAGCACACTGAGGGCAAACATCTCAGTTACCAGAGCTATTTGCTCTCTGAGCTGAGCCCTATTTCAAAATGCTTCTCCCAGAACACACCACCCAAGCTTGATCACACTCTCATTTGACAGTCTGGATTTTTGAATAATGTGCATGCATTAATCTTGCAGTAGCACAATAATAAAGAGCCTGGAAAATAAGTTCTGAAAGAAATACCTGTTTGCTCCCACACTGTTCTTATCTCTGTGACAACAGAGCTACATCTTGCAGTCTGCCTGTCTGGACTTGGTCTGAAGTGTGTGCTTTCAAAGGGGCTGTTTGACCTGTGCCTTGGTTTCCCAGTTGAAATATTTAGTGTCATGTCAGCTGAGGAAATATATGTCCAGTGACAAATGTTATTCATTTGATGGCAATATAGGCCTGTGGAGAAGTATTTAATTATCTCTGATTTGCCTGTAGTACTGCAGAATTTACTGTAGAATTTTATCCAATTACATAATGACCATAATTAAACCCCACATCTAACCCCCCAGCCCTCCCACCCATGTAGGCTTTGTGATTAAAGCCTTCAGACTAGCCTGACTGTGAAGGCAGGAGGGCAAGTGAGGGGATGTAGTTTTTAATTCTTAGAGTTTCCTGTGGAGCACTCAGACTGCTTTAGCTCAGGCTGGGTGACAACCTGTGGGAACCCAACCCTGCTTCAGTGTGACCAGGCCTTCTGCTTGTTTGCTGCCAGAACTGGCCATGCTGTGCTGGTTTCAGACTTCCCCCCCAAAAAGAAATCTGAGTTCCAATATAGACTCAGACAAATGGTTTAACAAAAATAAGCTCTGTCTCCCTCAGTTGTGCATTCCCATGAAAAGACAACTGATTGTAA